ATAACTACTGTTATCAACACTATTCAGTACAGTTGTTGGTGCAACTTCCTTCGTGTATATTTACTTGTATTTTTTAGTATAGAATAAGAGAACATCAACAATTCATAACTAAATATTAAAAAAATACGAAGAAGTGTTCATGAAGGTTTAATTCTGTTCACCACTGTATATATACATTTTTATTATTCTCCTTAGTTCCAGGATCATTTGTGCCACTGTAACAAAGGCTTGCCTATTCAAATGAGTTACTGTATAACTTATTTCTCTTAAAGTGCTTCTCTTCGGGGAATGCAAAGGACCATGTTCAGTAGATGTGCATGTCCTGGATTTGTGCAATATGGCCTCCATTCTACATGGTGCCCCGGAGGTGTGGACATTATGCAGCTAAATCAGCCACATATTTATAAGAGTAAGATGTGGTTTGTGTCCAACCTGCCCCTGCCTCCATCTGTTTTAAAAAATTTAAGAAACATTTTTGTTAATTGTATGTCACATGTAGAACGCAGCAGTGTGGTAGAAACAATTTTGCTTGCACTCTTTTCGAATTATTTGCATAACATATTTGTAGTTTCTGTAATCTCAGCAATATGGTTATCTCAAAATCAAGCAGATTAAATTATTGTTTGCCATTCATTTATCACCAAATCACTTCATCATTGTAGTTTTTGTTCCACTATTTAAATTGCAGATGATATGCTATTAAAATACTAGTAGGAAATGAAAGTAAAATAAGCCCAAAGTATTTTACTTTTGAGGTACTATTTTTTACATAGAATTGGTGAACCTTTAATTTATAAAAGGTCCTCCTCTGTGGTTTACGTAGTGAAGTGTTTTTATCTATAAATAATCTTACTTTCTTTTCACCATAAGAAAGAATTTAATTTGGCCCAAAATAAGGAACTAAAATCTCAGGCGTTTGTACCAGTCAGACAATAACTGGGCAAAGACATTATGCAGGGGTAAGCACATCTTAATACCGTTTACAACTTGTTATCATGTAGTACCATGTCTCTATTGGCATAACTGGGCATACCAACTCAAACTGTGCAGAGGGAAAACAAAGAAGTGAGCACAGAAGTGGACTGTAGACAAAATTATTGCTATCTCTGATCAGAAAATTTCTAATATCATATTTGTACATGTAGAATTAACCCATCAGATTCTACACCTTGGTTCAGTCAATAGTGTAACTTCAGTTTATTATTCAGTTTCAGCTTTGATGTGAATTCATCAGTACTTTATTGATTTTAAATTGAGTGACTACAGCGTTGTCTTCTGTATTAATTAAAAAGTTGAAAACTGTCATAAGTCACTATGTCCCTTTGTCTTAAGATGTTTTGAGGATTGTAGTAGAATTGTGTGGATCTGTTTGTGATTTTGCTTGTTTTCAGGCAGTATTTATGTAAGGCTAAATCGAGAAACCTAATGGTTGTACTAGCAGCCCATTGTTGCAGTACTTACTATGCTCCATATAAAATCACTCTTGCAACTTCTCATGGTCTCAGCCAAAATTGTTTACTAAAATCAGAAATAGCCAAAATCTTCACTAGCATTGGATATAGATATATGTATATATTTTTTTCTCTATATTAATTTTTGAATATAGGGAAGTGGAACTGGTTTTAGACATTTTTAATCATTGCAATAAGCCTGATTAACTGATTAGGTTTTTTAGATTATAGCATTAAGTCTGTAGCCTAAGGAGACCTCTCAGATCTCTTGCTTTAGATTTCATGTGGGAAAAAAAAAAAGTGTGATTAAACACAAAAAGGAAACTTGTGTTGTAAAGCTTAACTACATAGGATGGTTTTCCTCCCTGTCAAGCTGCCAAAAAAAAAAATTATTTTTAAATAAAATTGATAGTTTTACCTTTGCCTGTTAGTTCTGTAATGTAAGTGTGTGAGTACTGTGCTTTCTTCCTTGGAGAATGAGGAAATAATCAGTCTCACAACTCCTGTTATTATCCTTCAGGATCTCAAAAAGCAAATAGTCAGGAAGTGATGGAATTAGTTCATAACTAAAATTTCATGTAGGTTCAGCCTATCCAGTGTGATTCCATTCAGGCATGACCATTATAGTTTTCCATTCCATGAATAGGTAGCCAGATTGAAGACTTTTTTCACTTTTACTGAAACAGTGTAATTGTATTTGTACAGTATATGCAGTCTTTTGTTCTTATAATTTTTCCTGAACTCTCTGAGTATTTTTCAAGGGAAAACTCTGTCTTCATTTTCCATTTCTCACTATAGATGTTGATAATGAGATTCACTTTTTATTATCTAAGTATTTACGAACAAAAAAAGTTTGGGGATTGTTCTTTTAGCTGGGAATCTTCATATCAAATATCATACTCTTTAAGGAGCTAATATGTACTTTTCTGATGTAATTGTGTTAATGGCATATGTTGACCGCAAATCAACTATTTTAAAATAGGGCTTTTGTATTTTATTGCTCAATGAATGTCAGGCCCCAATACTGAAATAGAGAGTCTGAAACTAATAGGGTTAAAAGGACTTCCACTGTCTGTATTGTGTGTGTGTTATACCTACATTGCTTATACATTGTTTTTTTTCCCCCTAGTATTAGCAATCTGCTTTTGTACTTTGACACAGGGATTTCCCCTGTGAATTTTGTCACAGAAAAAAGAGAATCATCAATATCGCAGTTAAACTTGACTTTCAAAGCTAATAGTATCTCATTTGGGGGCTGAAATTTAATAAATTTTCTTTGATTCTGGGTGAGTTTTTAAACATCAAACAATGAATTGGCCAGGGTGCTGTAAAATATTTAGATCTATTGACTATGGTTCAGAAGGGTAGAAGGCAAAACACTAGTGGTTTGATGTTGATAAATTCTTAGTACCTTAATCCACATTAATGTTTTCTTTTATCTGTGTGCATACTGGCAGCAAAGACACTGAAAAGTTGGGATATATAAGCTATAAAAATGTTAATCAAGTGTATGTATGTGTGTGTGTGTGTATATATATATATATATATATATATATATATATATATGAGTGAATTTAAAGTAATGCATTTTGTTATATTCAGCAAGGTTAACATCTGACTGGAATTACACATGCTGACAGAACACTCCAGAGAGTATGTTTGTTCCACAGGACTGTATATCCTGAACCTAGTGCACTATGTGTGCAAAAAAAGTGTAGAGGACCTTTCCTGTTATAAAAATTGCATCATAGTGCATATGTTTGGCAGCCACAGGTATTGACAGGAATTCTTAGGTCAACTTGGGAAATGTAGGGCTCCTTATTCCCACAGAACAGAGCAACGGATAAAATAAAATCTTTTCTTCTTTGTATCAGTAGATTTACACATGCATACTTCTTTCAATTAGAGCAGATTTCAAAGGCTCTGCTATTATTTGAAATATGTTCACTCATAATCAACATTTTATAAAAATCTAATTTTCGAAGTGCTTACAAAAAAGTAATCTGGGGTTTAAAATGAATGGACATATGTTTTAATTCATGTTTGGTGAGATCTTTTGGTCAAAGGAGAGTCTAAGAAAAAATAAAATTTATTTTAAATAGTATTTAGTAAAGTGTGTTGATTCATATGTATTTAGTAATATATTTAGTGTAATTTTTAGTATCAGACTGTGTATTGTTGTTAAAGACAGTAAATCTTTTTGCAGTACTAGCTATTGCTACTCAGTGGATAACAGTCTGTGCCAAATGAATGTATTTCATCTATTCATTTGTACTAATACATATTTGTATGTGTGTCTATCCATCAGTATTAGAATCTAATCTGACTGCTGGGATCTCTTGGAAGTGGGCATGATAATTTTTGTATTAAATAGAATGAAAAATGGGTGTGTGGCAGCATATGGTATATTAATATAAGTAATGTGTCCATGGAAGTTATGTGTTAAATATGTATAATTTAACATCCATGCTGATAAACTAACTACATGTTGTAATATGTGGAAAAATGTTGCATTTTAAATAATGATAACAGTATTCGTCCCGTGTGCAGCACTAGTAATTTTGGTTGTGTTTAAAGACAAAAGCGTTGATGACTTTACATCGCTGAGAGTTTTTACCTGTGCGTTTGTATCACTCTGAAGTCATGCGAGTTTCTAAATTAAAACCAGTTTATTGCTTAGTCAGCAGGTGGCACTGTGACACCAACGGCCCGTGATTGTGGCCGTGTGTAGAAATGACATTGACACAGCTTGGAGGTTTTGTTTTATCCTTTCGTTTCAGACTGCCTGCAAAACTAACTAAATATCAAACTGTCTGAATTTTGTGCAAATTGTAGCATTTCCCACTCCAGATTGGCATAGTTAGAAACTATAAAAGTCTATTAATACCAATTAGTGCATTATTTCTTATAGTGAGTCCACAATAAGAAATCTAGTAGCAGGGTTGTTTTTTGGGTGTTGTGGTTTGTTGTTGTTTGTTTGTTTTGTTTTGTTTTGTTTTCTTTGTTTCCCTTCTGTTAATTGCAGAGGTACAGGTTGGTTTATTTTGCTTTGTTTGAGGATTATTTATTTTAATCTGGGGTTTAACTGAATTGATATTAAGTGAACCTTACTGTGGAACCTTACTGATACGATCTCCCTACAGTAGACAGAACTCACATTCTTGTTTGTATGATCACATGAACTTTTTAATTTCATAGCTGATGTTTGCTTGAGTCAGATGTACATTTACTGTTTCTTTTCTTATGAGGTTTTTACAGGGAACAGGTCTGTGAAAGTTATATACCAGGTGAGCTTGTGAGCCCTTAGTGTCTCTTCTTTCCTTCTCATATCAGACCAGGGGAAGGATGCTTTTGCTTCTTAACATTCTCTCCCAGCACTCTGAATTAGAGATTTATTTGCAACGAAAAATCAATTAGTCCTAAATTTATTCATGGATTTCAGGTCCAGCGATCAATGCAAGTCCACTCAGTGGGCTCAAGGGGACCCAGTTCATCCCAGTTAATGTGTCTGAAGGGGAATTACCATTGATGCTGGTTTTTTCCCTTTAGGTCAGAGATCAGACCTTGCTGTCATGGACTGCGGCAACCAGGAATGACTTCACCCTGCAGCTACCCAAACTGCACCTAGAGACCTTTGCAGTGGAAGGGCTGAAGGGCAGGCCAGAGGTTGTAGCATTTCAGGTTAGAGTCTAAAATAATCCTGTTTCTATTTTTCCTTTTTTGCATCTGAGACAGAACAAGAAGCAATTCTGCTCTGAATGCGTGGAGAACAAAAAGCTTCAAAACTATTGCAGTCAACACTTGAAAGAGAAATAATTTCCATATATATTCTTGAGTACGGTATTTCAGGGATGATGTAAACTTTCAGTTTTTCAGTTATAATGTTAAATAACTGGCGGGAATACAACCATGAAAAATGCAAATGTTATATTTGAAAATTAATATCACTCTATCCCTACCCCCCATCCATCCTGCCTTAATTTAAGCAAGACAAATAAAATAGGGAAAAAAAAAGACAGGATTTTTATACTGCTTCTTGGTCAGTATCAGATTTTTCCATATTGTAGTTTTAGAAGTAATAGTGATTTTTGAGCATTACTAATTTAAAAGAAACTGCTGTTTGGAATACTTAAATATAGAAACTATTTTTTTCATGTGGTTTTAAAGACTTGTATGTTTCAAAATACTAACTTTGTTAGGAGAAAACAATGGGAAAGAAGAGAAATTAACTGAAATTGTACCCATTTTCAGCTCTGAAAATATATTCTGTGCAATGCCTCTTTAATGTTTTTAAATTTGTTATGTTTTCTTGTACACAAACTATCCCTTAGACACTATAGCTGTACAGAATGACTTCATTCTTGTGATACATTATTGCTAAAGGCAGAACAATTTGCTTTCTCAATGAGAGAAGGAAAGGCAGAGCGAGTACATACTTCTTTCATTGTGTTCTTCTATGTGAATCAGAGAGAGGAAAGCTAGTCATATAAAGTGCAAGGAAGTCAGACAATGCGAGTGTTGCATGGTGTGTGTACATCTCTGTAGAAATACTTTTTAATTTATTGTAGATTTTCTGTTCTACATGCAGTATATAATTGCAGGAACAGGGTCACAAAAACATTCAAGAAAGCTGGAAGTTTTTCACTATTGCCCTCTTACATGCATACATTTCAATGTGATAAAGATTCAAATTATGTGTGTATTATTGTATTTCCATTATAAAGTAGTAATATATAACACCTTGAGATTCCCATGAACTTTAGTTAATGTACAGCTGTACATCTCTAGCAGAGGGTAGAGTTGCAAAAGTTTCCCCAGTACAGTGATGATCACTTTTAAGGCTGTGCAAAAAGTTCCACAGGTGGCATCTTTTCAGAGAGGCTGTCATGAATCACCAGCTTTTAAATACTGCTTTTCTGATTTGGTGGCCTATGCAGTGATAGCTGCCTTTGTTTGTTGTCCCATCCCAGCTCCCATTATTTTTTGGACTCAGAATGATTGTAGAAGCATTTGCAAGACGGTCTAGTCCTTCTTTCTGAGATGATGAAGAGAAACGGAAGTACAAAAAATTACATTTCATATTTGTACAGAACGCTTGTGATGTAACTAACACATAGTAATGTACGCAGTGGGTAGCTTACTGGTGGTGCAGTATTGTAAACATACTTTTTGCTCACCTGTGAGCTCCAGTTATGTGTGATTACTCTTTACGTACACAAACAGCATCAGAGGTTCACAGTCTATCTCACTCCTTTTCCTTTCCCTTTCCCTCTCCTCTCCTCACCTCTAGTTACATAGTGGCTGTTTGATAACTTCCTAAGTACTTTGCAGAGATTTTATTATGAAATTTCCCTTTTATAGCTGGGAGTCAGCTAACTGATTTTAATTTCACTGCATGCAAAACTATATTAAGGGCAATCCTGCAATCTTGGATGAGGTAAGCAGTTAGTAATCACTTTATGGACACTTCGTATTGAAACCGGTAGAATTGTTTGCATGCATGGTCTCTATAACTGCTACTACTACATGTATTTTATAGTTAGTCTGTGACAAGTATGTCCAGTTAAAGGCCTTATGGTCTGCAAGTGTTAAACATAAGAAGTTTTTTTTCCTAGTCTAAATTTATTAATATTTGATGGTTTCTTTTAAAAAATTGAGTAAAAATTGAGTAAAAAGACCTTAAATGAGACCGTGTACTTGGGATGAAGCACTGACAGTCAGAACTGTTGAATACCCATAGATGATTGCACTGTTTTACTTTTATTGTTCCTGCATCCAGTTCATAGTAGGTGGCTGGAATCAGTAATTAATAATAATTTTACATTCATTGGTTCAGTGTGTATAACTTTTTCATTATCTGAGAGGAAGAAAAAACCCTAGTGTATTTGTAGATGCATACACATCTGCATAGGTTATCTTTCTTACAGATTTTTCATAAAGCAAGTGGTTCTTAAAGGAATTTTCAATGAAATCTGCTATTCTTGATTTACTTGATAGGCTCAGCAGCATATGGGATCTATATTCCTTTAAATTGGGATCACAGGAAGTCTGGGAATTTTTAAATAGCTGTTATCTCTATATGAACGTTTCTCAGGAAAAATATCCTTTCTTTATAGGAAACAAGTGCAAAGAAGTTTGGCATAATGAGCCTAAGTTGCTTGACTGTGAACTAAGCTATCAGATTTACTTTTTTGTGGCATATTTAATTAATTGTCTTGTAAAACTAGAAGACTGTTCTAGCAAATGGATCCAACATTCCAAATACCATGATGCAGGGCTGATCAAACAAACATACAAATAAAACTCTTCTTATTCCCAAATTAAATAATTGTTAAACTATATAGGAAGTGGTGTGCATCTTTTAAAGAATGTGTTGTACACTCCAGTGATAGACCTTTAAATAATGAAATTAAGTATTTGGGACACAAAGTTCTCTGTATCTTCTCCAAAGCCTGCACTTTATGTAGCGGCACTTGAATTGCAAAATTACATAATAGATTGAATGCACAAGCATGTCCTTGCACTGAATGTCTTCTAAAAGCCCATGGGACTAGAGAAAGTATGACTTAATTTGTAGGCATTTGTTAAATTATTGGAAACCGTAACAAGAATTACTGTAATAATTCAAAAATGTCACTTGAGATGGATAAGTAATAAAAAAAGTGCAGTGTCTCGAAGAGTAAAATGATGTGATTGGTATAGCTTTGAAACACTCTCACCTGGTATTTAATTGCTGTGAAGGATGTTATAGCACAAAGTTGTACCGTTTGTTACTTAGTTGAGTTTGAAAGTGGAAAATATAGCATTACTTTCAAGCGCCTGAAACACATGAAAACAGGATTTAAGGTGCACTGTTCTGGCCATGCCTGACTGTTCCCACTGAAGACAAGTGGAACTGCATGTGAAGCCTCCAATAAATGCGGATATGGGGTGAGAATGAGCAACTGAAATAACATGGGAAACCTAATTCTAGTAGTCTTGCTTGCAGATGACTATTTAAATTAATCAGTAAAGTTTATCAGCTCTATAAAATAGAAAATTGAATTGTGCTACACCTTTAGGAAGAGGACAACGTTATGTTCACTTTCTCTTCTGAAAGAGGTTATTGGCTCACAGAAAAGTGGTTGTTCAGAAGATTGCTTCTGAATTGTCTCAAGTGCTTTTACATCAAATATGTAATTAATACTCATAACAAGCAATTTGACCTAAAAAACAATGCATAAAGTCACCAGATAAACTAGATAAGGTTTAAACGTTCATGTATAAATAATTAAGCATTGGTATACTCTCATATCACTCTTCTATTTGGAGATGTAGATGCAGAAGGGTAAAAACTGGTATGAAAGAAACTTCTTGAAGCAAATTTAGGTATTTCAGACTAGTTTTGCAATAGCAATAGGATGCATAATGTATACGTGATGTGTAAGTGCTTGATTCTCAAACAGGGAAAGTCTGACAATATACACATTGGTGGCTTTGCCCTGTGTACCTAGATTATACTCTATATACACTATTGTAGGTTGGTTTTACAAGAGGTACAGGAGCTGTTTGAACAAAGTAGAGGAGCACTGTCTTTATGGAGAATGTCCTAGATGTTCTAATACAAAGAAGTAACAGATTTATTCAGGCACTGTCAGTGAAAAACGGTGGCAAAACAAAGCTATCCGTGGTTGTCAGAGTCACGTCCACTGTATGTCTGAAAGAAGTGCATATGGCTGTGTGATTAGACAGCCACTGATGTTCACACATGGTAGCTGCCTGCAGACTTGCAATTAGGGAAAGCATAATCACTTTCTGTGTCATGGGAACTACCTTGACCTCTGTCTTCAAGGTCTCCACTTGTGTATTTTATTAATTGGCCCTATTAAGTTGTGGTGGTTGCTTTTGGTCAGTATTTGGCATGGTGGGTGTCTTCCTCCTTTAATATCTGGTTGCTAAAGGATATGATGTGACTTTTGGATGTTGGTTTGGAATAAAACGGATATTCACAGATGAACTTGTGTTGCTGTTTTACAGGATTTATAAGAACTAGAGAATCCAAATGGGCAAGTTTTGTGAGTGACTTTAATGAGAATGTGAATATTTAGTGCATTTATGTGGTGTATGGAAAAGCAGATGTGAGGATGAGACTACAGGCCAGTGTAAAAGGGGTGCATATACATGTATTTGTCAGTGAATCTGTATTTTTCATAACTAAGCTCTCCCTTAGTTTTGAAATATCCTCTACATTTGTGGTGTGGTTTCTCTCCTCCAGGTGGGTTTGAGATGGATAAGTTTTCACTTTGGATTGCCTCTCTGTCTCTGCCTCCCTCTCTTTTTGTTTCTCTTTCTGACACATGCTCTCATTCTCTGCCGCACGCTTCCTCTCCATGTCCAGCACGCACGCTCTCCACTGTACGCATGCTCTCGCACACTTGTGTGCTTGCACACCCTTTCCCTGCTGTGCTGCTCTCTGTGCCACACGCGTGCTCATGCTTTCCCTCAGTCCTCCTCTGCCTGCTGCTCTGCCACCAGCTCTCTCAGTCTCTGCCCCTCTCTTCTGCTCCCTGTGCCTGTCTTTCCCACTCTGGCTCTGTCTTACTTGCTCTGCCTCTCTTGCTGTCTTCCTGTCCCCACCGTCCCTTTGCCTCAGGCTCTTTCCCTCTCTCTGCCTATCACCACCTCCTCCACCCCCATCTTGCTCTCCCTGTGTCTCTGCCTTCCGCATGTATCCATTTGTTCATGCAGGCTTAGGAAGTCCACTTAGGATTTACGTGTACTTCCTTGTGTTTCTCACGTGTTTTGAGGTAATTTTAACTGAAAAGTGCAATAGTAACATAAAGGCTCCTAGTGGTGGTAGTAATGTAGTCAAGTACTGACATATCTTCAGTGTTAGTGTATAATCATTATAAATTTATGAAAGAGTAGGTTCTTACCATTTATTTTATGTAAATTATGTATTCATATATAATTTAGTCATGCATTATCTGATTGTGTTGTAGGTCCACTTCTTGTAATTAATTGGGCAAACATAAATGTAGTTTAAAGTGTTAGGAGCTTCTTAATTTGTATTTACTTTCACTTGTTCATTAATTTTAGATTTATGTTTGATAGATTAGAAGGTAAAAGATATGCATAATTCTGTTGATAATTTTTCTCAAAATAATAAACATTTCTCATTCCCATGTTTCCTTGTCAATAAAAGAGTTCTTGCCAAATTGAAGAAGCAAGTGATTTCAAAGGTAACATTATAATTCTGTCATTGGATTTTATCCTCTGCATAAGGCAAGTCTTTCAAACATAAATCACTTCTGGTATGAACACTTAATGGGATGAATTAATCATGGGGTAGCTGCTTGAAAACTGAATTATTAGTATTTTAAATCTTGTGCTTCTGTTTTGGTGCCTTTGTCTTTATTTTTTTTTTAATGTTATGACTGTTAAAAGAACAAATAATTATTTTTTTTGTTCTCTTAATACTTCAGAAAGGAGAAAACTTTTTAAGAGAGTCTTGAAGATAGTGTGTTTATATATACATGCACCCTACATACACATACTTCCAGTGTTTTCTTTTTACTTCCACTGTGTTACCTGCAAAAGGGACTATCCATTTCATTTCAGCGGCCAGAGTGCTGCTTCCTTCTCTGAAATCGGACTGCTACTTCTTGTTGGGTAAAACTGGGTCTTCGTTCTCCAGGAGTTCAACAGCTGCTGTCAACAGCATCTGGGCTGCCCTTCCCCTCTTTTATTCTGCTCTCCAAAAGGACTGATTTCCTAACTAGCGTCAAAATGTGCTGCTTCTGCACTGACCATGATCCTGCCTTCCAATATACTGTTTAAAGAGAGAAGTGATTCCTTATTAATATAATGATACTTTGCACCTGCACATTGAATTGAAATACTCATAAATAAGTAAGCGTTTTAAACTCATTAGAGTAGGATGACACCTCTTGCAACCCTGACCTTTTGCAAACTTCAATTTGTCAAAAATGAAGTTGGTGCAGGCTTAAGAAACAGTTAACAACTGAGTAAAATCTGAATGACCAGATTGAAAAGGTGTAACATGAAGAAAGCTAATTTAATCTCCCTGAATGCGTTCAGATGGTATCTGGAGTTATGTCTTCAGGTAGGTTGTACCATGATGATAAATGTTTAGAAGCCATTTTAGCATAATTCATTTTAACTATAATTCCATTAAAATATAACATTAATGTTTGTTAGCAAAATTTAAAACATAAAAAACAATTTAAAACATAAAAAGTGAGACATCTTCAAAATGCCAGAGATGCTGGAAATATGCCTTTTATAATTTGAATTTCAAACCCCTTCCCCTTTCTGTGGATTGTGCTCCCAACTTCCTCTCCTCTTCACAGCATTTCCTTTAGTAGTCTTTTCCTCCCTGTCTTCTATGGGCTTTTTATTGCCCATTCTCCTTTCCTCATTTTCCCCCTCCTTATC